GTGTCGGTTGGGTGTGATTCTGAATTTGTATACAGTATCTGTCTTGCACCCACAGCCACACCCTCAGTAAACCATAAATGTACAATGAATCGATTGTTTCAAAATCTTTGTAGGTCTTCTTATTCCTTCAACAATTCGTTATGATATTAGATAAAGAAAAAGGCGAGAAAAAAATGAACCAAAATAATGATAGAAAAATAGAAAAAAGAATTACATGACAATATAAAAAACTAGAGATATGTTCTAATTCGTTGTACATCAATCACTTGAGGAAAGAGGACAAAGAACGGTAAACAATAAAATATTTTCCCAGCGAGGCTATCCATTGATAACAGTAATTGAATGACTCATATTGGATGCGTTCGCAATGTTTTATTCCTACACATGCAACAACCAGATGGCACTTTTTTTCAACTAAATATTAGAAACAAATGAGTAAGTTACAATTAGAATTTCGTGTTAAAATAAATATGAGGGCGTGGGTATCGTGGCAACTGCACTTTGTCGACTGTAAGCGATCATATTATTCACACTTCCTTTTCTTTTTCTTTTTCTTTTTCTTTTTGATACTTGAAAAAATATTATCTACAGATAACATTCTTTCTATTCTATGCTTCTTTTCTTTTATATAATGGAGGAGGGATTCTTGGATGTAGGTGGATATTGATCTGGGTGTGGATGTGATTGAAAAAAGACACTTACACACTTACATACCTTCACCCATATCTTTAGCAATAAGAGAAAGGTAGTGTACATCTATCCTTAAGTTTAGGTTAATAACTATCTCATCCGATTGTACAACTAACAAAAAAAGTTGTTAACACATTCCTTGCGGGATTAAAATGTAAAACACGATTAAACTGCTTATTTAGATGGCGAACGAGGAATAAATTTTGTGTCTATCGTGTCTGTGCTGGGAGGGGAAGGTCCAAATGTATTTCTATATACGTGAAGGCTCCTTTTAATTCGTGCTTCACAAAATTAAGGCGTATCAGTATCGAATGCCTATAATTTACTTCTGAAGATATGATAAAAATATTACGAGCCTCTAAGGGCCTTGAAATCGCTGGTTTGCCTGACATAAAATTCTCTATATTGCGTTTGTCAGATAGTAATATAATAGTGTTATTCACACGATTGTTAACAAAAAATGGATGAATAGAATAACAGATAACTTTTATAGAAACAAATCACGATTATAAAATTAACATTTTGTCGCTTTTGTGTCGCATTGACTGCGTGAGACGGCAGTAAAACGGTTAAAGTAACGTGTAGTAAATGGTAACTATTTGTTCTTTCCATCTAAATTTGACACGCGTCAGCAAAGTTAATTCTGGCTTTATGCGCATAATAAAAGCGATAGCACGATTGTCAACAGTTAAGCAAACGTGTGTGAAATAGATTACGCACATTGGTATTAGAGTAGGATTTTATCATTTAGTTGAAGAATAATGCTGAATGTCCTGTCGTTAATATTATGGATACGAATAACAGTTAGATCGCAGTTCATGTTTTATGACACTAACTACTTACAGCTCGATTGTTTACATTATTATTTACCCAATTCACAAACTAGTGAGATAATTCATTATTGTCTTCGTCCGTTCAACGAAAGAAACTCGACAAGGATTGGTTTTCTCAACACACGTGATCAAAATTTTACTTTTGATGAGTTACACCGTTTAAATATCACTGCAAGACTACTCTTGTTATGGTCGGCTTCGATCGATCGCGCTGAACAATATCAATATTATATCGATCAACAGAATAAATCGTTTTTATCGAATGAAATATTTTTCAATTGCACAAAACCATGGTTCGGATCTCAGTGTCAGTATGCCTTCGAATTGAATGAAACCATATCTAAAATTGATGTTGTCGAAACAATGTTAGACAAGAAATTGAAAAGCGACTCAACTCATCTTGCCATTAAATTAACCTGTTACATTCTTTTGGAATGTGTTCGTGGTAGTTCATACATCTGTCTCGATTGGCGTGAAGTATGTGATGGTCGCGTCGATTGTCTTAATGGTGGTGTTGATGAGTTGCAATGTTTTGATTTAGAAATAAATGAATGCGATGAAAACGAATATCGATGTCACAATGGATTGTGTATTCCAGAGTATTTTTGGACATATGAATCTGCTATCGCAGTATGCGCCGATCTATCGGATACGTCGATAGTGCCTCGATGTCCACTCTCATATATAGGATTTGATATATTCGAATGTGAGGAGTATTCATGTCAACCAGGTCAAAAAATGTTCTCATGTGGAGATGGGCAATGTGCAGAAGATTTTGGTGAATGTTACAGCGGGCGACATATCTTGCTGACTGATTCGATGAGTGCTCAAGGGAATTTATCGTTTGATTGCTGGAGGAGCATGGTTTGTCTTAGCAAAGTCAATGATCAGATCAATGGAACATCATGTGAACAATTGTTCAATTCGTCTCAGATTATCACTCATCTAGAAAGTTGTGAAACTCTCGTTCAGTTTCCAACTATTCCTGTGCTTTACGGTCATGTATATTTTTTATACCGCCCGAGGAATATTTTCAATGTAAGCATTACATTGGCCCGTACACCAGATTATGTTTGTTATGATGAACGATTGTGCGATTTCCTCACGCCGTCATTTCGCAATGGAACCTATACTTGCCGACATGGTCATGAAATGGGTTTCGAATTTAATGTGGAATATCAAGATTGGAAATCGATTATTGATTCTGTCAAGCCTTATTTTCGTGGTTGTATGGCTATATCTCGTAACAGAAATTATTCTCAACATTTATCATTATATTCATGCAAGAATTCATCTAAGCTTATTTCAAAACATCGAATTGTTGATGGTATTTCGGATTGTTACTTGAACGATGACGAACAAGAATTCGAACTCAGTTGTTCACTAAATGATACGTTTCGTTTTAAATGCTCTGACGAGAACCAATGTCTATCGCCATTGTTTCCACGTACGAGATGTACACCATCAAAAACGCATCACAATCTAAATGAAATATTATTTCATACAATATGTGATCGGACTGTTGATGTATCACTTATGACCATCGACGGACAAAATCATACTGATGAGACTGATTGTGAAAACTGGCAATGCAACAATATCTATACACGATGCGATGGCGTTTGGAATTGTCTTGATGGAGAAGATGAAGTGAACTGTACACGACCGATCTGTCCTCCACACTCTTTTGCTTGCATTTCTCCACTCAATTATACATTGATTTGTTTGCCAGCAAGTCAAATTTATAATGAAATCATTGACTGTCTTGGAGCCTCAGATGAATCTCAGTACTGTCGAACTGTAGACTTCAATATTGGAATTTCTTACGGTTTTTATTGCTTAAATAGATGTCTAAGTCATTCTGCTTTGTGCAACTCATATCAGGATTGTCCACTGAATGATGACGAGAAATTTTGTGAAAATCATCAAGGATTGTGTGAAAACACTGCAGCCTGTAATCGTACTCTCATTCAGGATGTACTTTGTCAGATTGGTCTTCTAGATAGGGTGCCATTTACATTGGAAACGATACCAACCTATCCGCAAGTTGAAAAAAGGATAATACATCACTTCAGGGATTATAGAGTAGAATCACGTACTATTGCGAACGACATCAAATCGCAACTTGATGTTTCTCGAAGGTCACAACGTTGCAATCATGGCGTTGATCTTTATATATGGCTCGGAGGCACTGATTACGGCAAGATATGTTTTTGTCCAGCGAATTATTACGGTGATATGTGTCAATATCAAAATCAACGTGTCAGTCTTACATTGACACTCATAGCAACCAATCCAGATGGTATTTATACCGTTGTTGTCATGCTGATTTCCGATGATGATGTTCAACAAGAAATAAACTCATATAATCAGATAATTTACGTGCATCGATCAAATTGTAGGAAACCATCCAACATATACCTTCTGTATTCGATTCGGCCGAAGAACAGTTCAAAAAACTACAGTGTCCGTGTCGATATCTTCGACAAAACTTCGTTGACATACATTGGTAGCTGGCACTTGAAAATTCCATTTCTCTTCCTACCAGTTAATCGACTAGCTGCTGTACTAACTATTGGAGATTACCAAGGTTTCAGTCCCAGTCACTGTACTCTAACATGTCACATGGGTACTTGTATGAAATATGTGAACGAAGAAAGATTCTTCTGCCGGTGTGATACTGGTTGGTCCGGTACTCGATGTCACATTCCTATACACTGTAGTGACTGTTCACCAGATTCCATCTGTGTCGGTTCAATTCACAATCGATCGATCTGTGCTTGTCCTCTGAATAAGTTTGGTTCACGATGTCTTCTCAAATATTCATGTCCAGCTGATTATTGCAAAAACAATGGTCAATGTGTAGTGATGGATATAAGAATGATTGACACCAGCTATTTTTGCCTTTGTTCTGAACAATTTTATGGAGTAAGATGTCAAATACCCAAAAAAAAACTAGATATTTCATTTCAAAAAATGAAAATCCCATCGTACCTGTCGGCCTACATATACTATGCAGTTTATAATGAACAGCCTGAAGTACAATCAGTAATCTTGAAAAAAGTGACCCAATCTCAGCAGACTATAACGCTGTACACTGTATCCTTTTTACAAATTGTTTTTGTTAAAATTGATGATAGTTACTATTTAGCTGTTCTTCACCAAATTCAATCGGGAAACATATCAACTACGATTGATCCCACTCGACGATGCCCTTCGATCAACGAACTGTTCAATTCTCAATTTTTGGCATTACCTAGAATTCGACGAGTAAAAGACTATCATACTCCGTGTCAAACTAATTTCGAACTGAAGTGTTTTTTCGATGAATCTTACATGTGTCTATGCACTCTTGAACATCATGCTAACTGTTTTCAATTCAATCATCAGTCAAATTTTTTATGTGAGCATCACTGTCAGAATGGTGGACAATGTTTACAAGATCGATTTACATGTCCCTTAAGTACAATATGCATTTGTATCGATTGTTTCTTTGGAAATCGATGTCAATTTTATGCGAAAGGTATTGGGTTAGCACTCGACGATATGTTACGCTATTTAGTTAAACCGAATATGAAAATTAGCGATCAGTCGTTCTTGGTGAATATGAGTATAGCTTTGACGATGATTATGTTCTTTATTGGTTTAGTTAATAGTACTCTCTCTATTTTGGTGTTTCGTAGTCGAGAGTCAAGGGCAGCAGGCTGTGGTATTTATCTTCTTACATTATCCATCACTACTATTCTCACTATGAGTATGTTGACAATTAAATTATGGTTTGTTATACTTACACAAGCCAATATATTGATTAGTCGTCCTATTCAACATGGAGGGTGTGTAGTTCTCGAACCTGTTCTCAAAATTTTCTCATGTATGGACAATTGGTTGAGTGCTTGTGTGGCCATAGAACGAGCAGTAACTGCATTCAAAGGTTTGAATTTTGACAAGATGCAAAGTAAGCGTATTGCTCGATGGATAATTCTCTTCATAATATTATTTATCATAACCACCCTCGGCTACGAATTCGTGCAGCGTGATTTATTTAATGACTATGAAGAACAGCGTGTATGGTGTGTAAATCACTATTCTTCCTCTATCCACTATTACAGTACAATCATTCTGTTCTTTCATTTCATTACGCCGTTCTTTGTTAATCTCTTCTCAGTTCTATTTATCATATTCACTATCGCTCGACAACGAGCAGCAATACGAGTTCGACAGAGTTATAAGCAACATCTTTATGAACAATTCAACCAACACAAACACCTTATTATCAGTCCAATGATTCTAGTTGTTTTGTCGTTTCCTCGCCTTCTGATTTCACTGTTGTTTGGATGTATGAAGACGTCTCGCAGTTCATGGTTGTACCTTTTAGGCTACTTTCTTTCATTTATTCCATCAACATCCGTATTTATCGTATTTGTTCTACCATCAGAATTTTACAAGAAACAATTTAAAGAGTTAATTAACAATTGGCAACGACGAATCACTCGAGAATGAGAGTGTGGGTATTAGTATGAAAAAGCGAATACTGACACGTATACCCACCCTCAACAGTATGCATAGAACCAGAATCAAATAAATCATGAAATAATATCACTATTATTATATATTCATGAAATACCATTATTTACATTTCCATATATGATAATGCCACTAATAACCTGATTTACTATTAATTTAAAGACAAAATATTACTATGAGACTGAATCGTATAGTAAATTCTTTGTATGCCGTTGATAATGATATTTCGCAGTCGATATGCATCAAAATCTAACTTTTTTAGAACGAAGTTTTATGCTTAGCCTATTTGTTCATCATTTGTTTCGTATCTATGATTATGAGATATAATAAGTGTGCTACTATAACTGACTACATTTGAATGATTGTATCATCTTACCATTTAATATGTTGTATTTAAAAATAAAATTCATTCGAAAAATGTAGCGATAAAGCTATTCAATTAGAATAGAGTCATATTACATATAAATATAGTTAAATATCATTCTTTGAAATAACTAGTTGAATAATATGGCAAGTATTTATAAAAACACGTTTAGTCATTTTACAATAACATCATGATTTTTTCTGTAAATTTTTGGTTGTAAATGTTAGTGGAACTATTTTTAGTAGAGAAGCCAAGACAATGATAATAATTAATGCTCACTATGATGAATTTCGTATTCACAAACAAAGTCAAAATTTGATAAAATGATAAGATTCCTTGATTTATTAATTTTTTTCACTTTTATTTCTGTAAGAAAAATTCTCTGATAATTATTTGAATATGTATAGATAAAAATCAATTAATTTAACTCTTTGTAGAATACAAAACTCAAGAATAAATGTTCTAGAAAATATCTACTCTTACATTGCTATGAGTAATACAATCGTTTAACAAAATCGTCGTCAAAAAGTTTGACGAATTAATTATACTTTTCATCTAAGCACATTATTATACTGTTCGCTAGGAGTGATATATTTGATATATATTTCAAAGGAGAATATGTAGCGAGATATAATGCTATATTTGAATAATGATGATTCAGTCATTATCATTTAGCGATAAAAGACTAGAATAATTTTGACTATTCATGATACTTGAGCACTTTTGGATTTAATTGTGATCTAACTGCTCGATTCGATTCATGATATTGTTGAGCAGAGTATCAGACGTTAAAACCAGACACATGGCTCATACACATTACCATCATCAATGTAAAAAAGACGGAACACAAAGATTTCGGATTTTACCGCATTTTACTATATTTTTTAGGCATCACACAAAACTAGTAAAATAGTTTGTATTTGAAATCGCTTTTTGAGGCAAAATATATGTTATGGCGTTTATGAAAATGAAAATCTTTTCCTATTAACGATATGCATTTAAGTACGAAGGTATTAGATGATGAGTGCTCTACTTTCTCATCCGCACCGCCGATAATTTTCATCAATATAATAAGACAAATCGCATATATCCATATTTCGATGGACTTTTGAATTCTGTACGGCTGCATCTCTATTAGAAAACGATCTGAACTATATTTATACGTATATGTAGAATATTTTTTACGAAAAGTTTCGATCGGTTTCGATTGACGTCTATGCATAGTTTCCTTCGTTAACGTAAATAATTCGCGCACGTGACCCACCGATTACTTGCATTCTTTATTCAATATATCACTCGTTAAAAGCATATAAACTGGGTATATGTTATTTTTCTAATTTCTTTCATAGTAATGTTGCGCAGTATTAAAAAAACTGATGAATATCATCAGAAATAATTATGTATTGATTGTTTTTATTATTATTATAGTCTTGACGATGACTTTTTTCAACTATTAAAAGTCTATACTTTATCTCAGCAGATGATGTAGATTACTTGTCTGTAATTCAAAGATACGATATAACTATTTTTTATTGTATTCTCATCATTAAATACTGTAATGAATATGATATAAAGAAAACGAATAAATTTTTAAATATTTTAGATAATGAATTTCTCAAAACGATATTCATACTATTTCTTACTATTTTTACAATATGGAGAGGCAATTGGACTGAGTCTTGGTTCTGGTTTATTTGGAATGTTTTTTCCTACTATATTTGTAAAACAATTATGTCCATGGTTTAGTCAATCAGATGTACTCGAACATCCAGTTTTACTTATGATGACTAGAATGTTTTGGTAAGTCTTCGCATGTATACTCTTTTAATTTGTTTTTCTTTAGCACGACACTACTTCTTTTGGGTATTATTGAATATTCAGTAGTACGTTATTGTACTAAATCATCTACTAACGATAATAGTCGTGCAACAAAAGAATATATTTTAAAAATATTCGTTCTATGTATGACAATTGGAGATTTTATTCATACATGTTCATATTTAAATTATTATTTAAACTATGGTTCATTCTTTGAAATAAGTTCAATTGGAAATTTACATCTTACAATTGTTCTTCCTATAGCTAGAATAATCTTTCTATGGTTAAATTATCAAAATAAAAATGCAAAACAAAGGAAAAAATAATAATATCGTTCTTGACTTATCTATTTAATGAAACAGTAAATATTCAAAATTAAACATCTATTAATTAGAAAATCTATTGTATCTTTCGTATTTTTTTCTTTCTATAATCATGTGATTAACATATTGACCGTAACTATATTAAAATATTATATTTTTGTAGGATTTATTTTTTTTACTACAGATTAATATTCTAACATGAATAAATATATTGTAGAGTTTAGGAAGACAGAAGGTAAATGTATATTTAATTATTAACCATTAAAAAAGTTCGTGTGCTGGGTAGGTGGGTGTGGATGTGAGTATGGATGAGGATGTAAGGTGTTGGTCAAAAGATGGTAGACATCCACACCCAGTCAGCATTTTCGATTAGATTGATTTTTCAAGAAACTCGCTTCATATAGTTTCTTTTAAAATTGTCTCTTGCACTGTATTTGATAGATAATTTCGTGGGCTATTCAAATCACTATTTAGATTTGATTTAACTACCTGTCTTTATGAAGAAATCTCAAAGATACGAGGGCGACTACAATTTTGATATACCTCTGTAGATTGTTCTATCGTCATATTTGTTTATTTGAAGTACTGATGAAGATCGGTATGTTATTCCTATTCAAGGCCAAAAATTCTACGTTCATTATATTATTATTATATTTCATTACAATTTTCGAAATACATTTAATAATTATTGGATAAATTGTTTTGTCTTTATATTAAAAAACGACCGGTTTTTCTGGAGTAAATTTATTGTTAATTCTTATGCTGAAAAAATCATGTCGTAAATTAAATTGTTCCAACTGTTGTTGTTTAACAGAACGTGGAGAAAGACATTATCAAACATTTTATATTTTCCATTAGCGAATTTATTTATAGTAAAGAATATTTTGAAGAAAAATATGTAGATATGTCATGACTGACATTATTGTTAAATGGAAATAATTGAACATATCTTCTTAAAAGGCTGTGTATTGAAATACCATCACTTAAGTTATTGAATATGCATTAATAGCAAACGTGTTTTGCGGTAAGCAATTAGCATTACTCAAAGAAAACTAATAGGCAATAAATTTGGATTGATAAGCAATCGTCTAATTGCTCACTGCTAACAACTCACTTAGAACTGTTAATGTAACTGGAGGTTGTGCTAAATGCATATTCGAATATATAAATTTTGTTGAATAGTTTGAAACATTTGGTATTGAATACATTGTTTTAAAGTGTTTTAGTACTTATCGATATGACATTTTCTTAAAAGGAAATTGCGTTTTGCATAACAACTAAACATTAAATGTCGCATATATATATTCAAAATAAACATCATATATATTATGATAAAAGTTCTCATTTGTTTTATTTCTTTGATGTGAATAAGCTTCACTTTCATCGACTCTGCATTTTACATTTACAATGAAATTACTTATTTTTATCCAGTTGACTCTAACAACGTATGCATTTGTACCAGATTATTTCTCAATAACTAAACCTGGAAATCAATTCCAACCGGCAAATATAATCGAGCTGTTGGCAATAAATTCCAATATTCGCACACTTATTCGTTGTGCTATACTTTGTGATCGTAATATTCAATGCCGCACATTCGATTACGATTCAATATCAAAACAATGCCGTCTCTTCGAAGGATCTATTGATACTGGTATTCTTTTATCTGTTTCTTCGGCATCAGTTGTCGGTTCGATTAAGATAGATGAATCTTTATACGATTTATACAATGCTTCAAGTGATGCATGTGTAAACAATCGATTTTTAGTCAGTGACACATTAAATGATTGGTGTCATT